GTTAACTATGGTAATAGTGTATTATTTGCTTTGGTATCCGTTAAAATGTATGCGTAAATACAACGATCTAGCTCAAGGAATTTGTTCTTTTTAGATCCATGGAATAGCATCACTTGTGTCATATGCGGCGACATCGATAAGGGAGAAGTCCTCCAAATGTTGTGTAGCACGCAACGACACGATTCACTTTTAGTGTATTGATGAATATTCAGTGGATTTCTATTCAGTAAGGTATTTTTTTCTTCTTAATCCTTTGAGCTGATACATGTATTTTTATCAAAATCTTCATATTTGCGATTAGATTCAATGATTCGTTTCGAGTTTTCAATGTTTCAATGTGAATTTAATGAAAATCAAAATATAGTGAATTCATCATTGTTAGTGTTAGTGTTAATAACTTAATATAGTGTTAAGATTAAGATTACGATTGCTATTAATATTAGTATTAGTATATCATTAGTATTAGCATTAGCACTACCATTACTATTAGCATTAGGATTATCATTACTATTAGTATCAGCATTAGCATTAGGATTATCATTATAATTATTATTAGCATTATCATTAGAATTAACATTAGAATTAGCATTAGCATGATCATATGCATTATCATTAGTATTAGTATTAGTATTAGTATTAGTATTAGTATTAGTATTAGTATTAGTATTAGTATTCTTAGTATCATTTTTAGTAACAGTATAAGTAGCAATTTCAATACCAGTATCAATATTGGGTTCAGTATTAGTATCAATATTAATACGAGTATCAGTATCAATATTAGTATGAGTATCAATATGAGTATCAGTATCAGTATGAGCATGATTATCAATATTAGTATCATTAATAGTATCAGTAGCAATATCAATATTAGCATCAATATCAGTATGAGTGTGTGTATCAGTATAAGTATAAATATCACTATGAGATGAGTATCAACGTATCAGTATGAGTATATGTATTAGTACCAATATAATTAGTATCAATATGAGTAGCAATATCACTATCAATATCAATATTAGTTTCAGTGGCAATATTAGTATCATTATTAGTATCAATATTTGTATCAACATCAATATCAATATGAATATTAATATGAGTGTACTTATCGATATTAATAGTATTAAGTATGAATATCAATATTAGTATTAGTATTAGTATCAAAATCAATATCAGTATCAGGTTTAGTACGAGTGTAAGTATCAGCATGATTATCAGTATTAGTATCATTATTACTATCAGTAGTAGTATCAATATCAATATGATTATCAATATTAGTATCAACAGTACTATCAATATTAGTATCGGTGTAATATCAGTGGTATTAGTATTAGTATTAGTATTAGTTTTTTTTGTTATTAACCCGGAATAGGCGACTAATATTACTTCCAATGTTGTTTACAATGAAGTTTTTTAGGGAATATGAGGTACATCATAAAAATTGTATATGTGATTCAAATAAACATTTATTTTTTGTATTATTTATAAGCATAATTATTTTATCGTGTTAAGTTTATTTGCAGTTTATGCTAATTTTATTGTCGACTCCACTGAAGTTTTTTTTTTTTTTCTAAATCAATGTACTTTAGTATAAATTGTATTTATTTCTTACACTTTTAGGTGATTTGTGTTTCCGTATTGTGTATCACTTATTGCATTTGAACAATTAAAAATGTGCATGTTACTTGCAAGGTATTAGTTGAGTTATAGGCGATGTCAATGCATGTGTTGTAAAATACTACTTTGATAATTAAATTTTCTGTTAAGGATGCGAGTGTATGGGATGGGATAGTAGTACCATTTGGGTCAAATAATGTATCTTATTTTCATATCACATCTTTTCGTATTTTATATTTTCTTTATCATTTATTTTGTTTATCTCGGTACTTAAATCAAATGAAATTGATATTGTTTAAAAAAAATAGATTATACCGTATTATATATCGACCATTCAAAATTTCGTTCGATTATTTTATCTAAAAACGTATTTTAATTTTTTATATTAACACCATGCATCACATAAGAATGCTCTTTTTATTCGCAAAGGTGTTTGATTTACATTATCAACGTGTTTTAGTCATTGAAAAAATTGAATTTAAAATTAATCCTCGTGCATCGCACGGGTGAGTTACTAGTACAAGTATAAAATGAATATATTTAAAGAAAAAAATTCCCAAATATACCAAAAAAAAATATAAATAAATAAATAAAGAAAAATGGGAATTATTTCAATTTCTGGTTCTAGAACTTCTGTACCACAAAACGCAAAAACAGAGAACTCTATAACCAAAAACAAACCCCAGCATAACACCCAGATTACTCCATTTCTTCGTTTTCTCCAAGCCCTGCCGTTTCAGAAACTCATCCCCACCCACCACCGCACATCCGCCGCCGCCGTATTCATTTATCACCAAGCTCTCAAAAGGGTATTTAAAAAGGCTCAAATAATGCATAAACATCCAGTAATCCGGTATACTCTCCTTCTCAATAAAATACCCAGAGAACAAGAAGAAACACCCCATCAATCCCGCAGCCACCGACGTACCCATGATGTAATTCGGCACCACCGCGCCGCAGAACGCCGTGAACGAATTCGACATCAGAACCACCGCCCACACCACCAGTGTGAAGTACAGGAACCCGCCCAAATCGGGCCTCAGCCCGACTAGCCAATACGACGGCGTACTGTAGAGAAGAGCCACTAGTAGCAGAAACGGGAAGAAGACGATTGCGTTCGCTGCAACGTACGATGATACTCTGTAAGCTCCGGCGAAAGTCTCCCTCATGAAAATTGTTCTCTCCTGCAGGAAGATCGGCAAACCCTCGGTTGTGGAGGATAGCAGGAAACTGAGGCTGAATGCGAAGAACCCTAATCGGGTTTGTTGGGCGATTTTGCTCTGATCGTTGCTGATTTTCATGTAGACTGTACCGAGTATGATTCCGACGAAAATTGATTGCAGCACCCTCGCCGCGAAAAGCTCCTT